TCTCCTCTCTCCCACTCCCCTCTCCCCCACCTCTCTCCCCTTTCCCTCTCTCTTTCTGTCTTTTCTCTCTCTCTTTCTCACTCTCTCACTCCCCTGTCCTCCTCTCTCTCTCTCTCTCTGTTTCTCTCTTGTTTTATGTGTTTGGCTTTACCATTTAAAACTTGTCTCTAAACTGTTTATGGAAGGGGGCCTGAGTTGATGGGATGGCGAGGAGGGCGTTTTCCTTGCATGTGGTCATCCCAGGTTCGATCCCCAGTTGGCCCCTCAAGCCCACCAACAGTCATCCCTGAGCACAGAGCCAGGAGTCAGCCCTGAGCACTGCTGGATGTGACCCAGAACCCCCCCCAAAAAAAAATCTTTATGAAAGGAGCATTGTGTGCAAAACTGTACCTATGCACACCCCACAAGTCATCATCCTTATGGGCTGTGCTCGGTCCCCACAGAGTCAGCCTCATTCATACTCTCACTTCTCCTTTTGGCTCAATCCCTCCTCCCCCTCCCTTTTTCAGTTGTTCTTCTGCTCTCCGGGCCTTTTTTGTTTCTTTCCATTGATTTATTTTTTGACCCAAGAGTGAATCCCCATGGCTCTGGCTGGCTAGCTAGCTTATTTCATAGGCAGGACCCTCTCCCCCCCTTCCCCGCCCCAATAGACCTGTGTACTCGCAGGTGGCAGGGTTTCATCTTCCAGAGCTTTCGAGGCCTGGGGACCCCTCTGGCTGATTGTCCACCAACCGGTCCTACAGTTCAATGCCCAGTTCAAGTTGTGGTTCCGCTCAGGCCTGGTGGTGCCCGGGACTGGCCAGGCGGTCTCCATGGTGCTGGGAATGGAGCCCAAGCCCTGTACTATCTCTGCGGCCCTGAGACCACATTTTTATCCGCTCATCATCTATGGACACTTCGGTGCTTTCCAGTTCTCGGCTGTTGTAGATAAAGCTGCTGTGGCCACAGCCGCGCGCATCCCATCTTTCCGGATGAGTGGGGTTTTGTTTAGTTTTGTTGTCTTTGGTTAAACCCCCAAGCAGTGAGCTCACTAGGCACTAGGATCCTTTAATATCCCACAGACTCTCCATCCTCCTTTATTTCCATAATGACTCGGCCAACTGCGTACCTACAGGGCACAAGTGTCCCTTCCCTCCACGTCCTCCCCACGTGTTTGCGGTCTGGTCTGTGGATAACAGTCACGCTCCCTGTGGGGGAGGTGGGTGGTATCTCCTGGCTGTTTGGACTCGCATCTTGAGTTTATCAGTGAGAACATCCAGTTGGGTCTTTGTCTGTCTGCCTGTCAGTGAGCATGGTGGACCAGAGTCTGTACTGCCCCACTCGGGCTGGGGGAGAGTTGGGAATGGCTTTTGCTTCTTGAATGATTGTTGACATGAGTCATGGGAGTGGCTGTGAGTGAGAGGTAGAAGTCTGGGAGGGAGCTGGGAGGGGGCAGGAAGGGATTGTCAGACAGATGGAGCTGTGGCGTGGAGAGGAGGACCTGGTCCCAGAAGACCCCCGGGGCCATTGCCATGCTTTTAAGACTCTTCCAGCATGGTGGGAGGGAAACTGGGGACATTGGTCTCGGAAGTGTACATTGGTGTACATTGGTGGAGGGATGGGTGTTGGAGCACTGTATGACTGAAACCCAATCATGAGCAGCTTTGTAATGGCCTATCTCATGGTGATTCAATTAAAAAATTTAGAAAATAATAATAAATGATACTATTAGATGGCCACATGGCTTTATATATATGAAAAAGACTCCTCTGTGTATGGCTCAGGAAGACAGAGGACAGATGGACAGGGGCCAGCACTCAGTGGTCAAGTGGAAGAGGAAGGACGGTCAGGATCCACTGCTTTGGATCCTGAGAGGCCCTGAGAAGAAGGCTGTGTCCTGACCAGTTAGGGGTCAAGTCATAAGAGGGCCAGGAATTGTCATAAACTTGTACTGTGTCCCTGGGGACTTGGCTAAGAGCTCTTGCGTTAGGCTGGTCAGCGGGAGCTGGTTAGAGGTCCTGGCTGGTGGGGGGATGGTGCTCTGAGCTGGGAGTGACCCTGCAAAGCCTTGTAGGTGAGACCCGATGGGGGACTGTCCCTCCCCGCAGCCAGGTGGCAGGACCGCAGTGGAGTGTCAGATGAGATGGTGCAGGAAGGATCCAGGGTTCGTGCAGAGGCCCTGCAAGGCCAGGAGTTCCAGTCAGATCTGCCTTTCTCATCAGTGAAAGGAGGGATTGGGCCCAATTGATGCTCCGTGTTCTAGATTCTCAGGCTCTGCTGACCCCCAGCCCTGTTCCCCACAACGCTTCTCCTGGTCACGGTGTATCTCCTCAACCCCAAAGGGACTTCTCTCATCCTTTATTCTCTTGTCTGTTCTTCTGCCTCGATTCTCTTGTCCTGGGACACCCCGTTTATTCTGCTCAAGGCCTTGATGGCTTCCCACCACCGATCCCCCAAGTTCTGAAAGAGACTCCATCCCAACACGCATGTCCTAATCTCTCCCAGCAGCCCTTTGGGCTTCTGCTGGCCCTGACTTACTTCTGCCTCTTCTGTGAGGCTCAGGGCTTCTAGAGTGTTCCTCCATGGTTTAAGGCCCTCCCACTCCTGGCACAGCAGTAGAGCGGTACTTCTCTGCAGGTCCCTCTGTACCTTCTTCTGGTTTGTCCTGCTTAGTTGAGGGCACCACCGGACAGGGTAACCATGTGCATGCTTGCCGCTGGTCACCTCCTGACTCTGCACAACTACCCTGCCTGCTTTTCTGGGGCCCCAATAATTGGATAGTGGGGAGGGCATTTGCCTTGCACATGGCCTATCTGGGTTTCATCCTCGACAACCCAGAGTTCCCCTAGCACCGCCAGGAGTGATTCCTGAGTGCAGAGCCAGGACTAAAGCCCTGAATATTGCTGGGTGTGGCTCAGAAACAAACCAAAAGGAACAACAGAAATAAGCCTCTCAAAACTGTGCTCTTTCTGAGACTTCCTGGTTGGTGTGGGGGTTATTTGACCAGAAGAAACTCCATTAGCAAAGGGGTTGATCTGCGGGTGTTGGTCTAGAACTTCTTTTTTTTTTTTTTTTTTTTTGAGCCACATCCAGCTGTGCTCAGGGCTTACTCCTGACTCTGAGCTCAGAAATCACTCCTGGTGGGCTTGGGAGACCCTATGGGATGCTAAGGTCAAACTTGGGTTGGCTTCATGTAAGACAAAATGCCCTACCCACTGTCTATCACTCTGGCCCCAAGAATTTAATTTTGTCTGATTTGGGGGCCACACCCCGCTGTCATTGGGGCTGACTTCTGGTCCTGTGCTAACGGATCGCTCCTTGCAGTTCTTAGGGGTACCAGGAATTGAACCTAGGTCAGCCAAATGCAAGACAAGTGCCTTCCCTGCTGTCTGTCTCTCAGAATATTAAAATGGAAACTTCCAATCTTGACTCCCTTGGAAATCTGCAGATGCCTTGGCCCAGCAAATCCTACTTAATAGAAATGCCTCCCCCACCCCGCCCCAACCATTCCCCTGATCAAATCGTCTTGGTTCTCTGCTGAGATGAAACAGTGGGTTCTCATGTAGGATCTGACAAACTAGAAACACCCCAAATGTCCAACCCAAGATGACTGGAGGGAAAACCAAATCCAAAGGGTACCGTTCTTTAGAATTCATGCTCCAGAACACTTAACATGATGTGGAGCGCAGGGATGCGTGGTAGCCGTGTCTGCTACACGCAGGAAGTGAGGGCCTTTGAAAGCATTGAGCTGGAAGTCGGATTTCCTGTCGCTTAATTGCTTCCCGAGAGAGGCCCCGGTGGTTGTTGCTGACTGCTGTCCGTGGCTCTTGGCACTTAACTGCTTGCGCCGTCCTGACCCTCTGACCGAAGGCTCCCAGACTTCAGTCCCGCTCTGAAGTTGGATGTGGACACTTGGGGGTTCATGGAAGCCGCCTGTCCTCACCTTGCCATCAGTTCTGAATTGATTCCTACATCACGTTCCCTCAGTGTTGGGGACATGATGGGACCTCCCCCCCCCCAGCCCGGGTATGGGGAAAGAATGGGCACCATCTTCTCTGGGCTGGACGAAGATCAAGGTTGGCACCGTCGGTTGAACATTCCAAAAAGGACGTGGGGAATTGAATGGTGCTGTCCATCAAGTGGGCTCTGGATTTGCCCCGTGTTTCTGCCTGTGGGATCCCATGTGTCAGTGGAGGTTGATGCTTCCTGTTCACCTGGGGCAGAGCACAGGGCACTTTCCCTCCTCTCCTGAGTTCTGCAACCCTTACTGTTGGCGAAGAATCCTGTCTTGGGACTGGGGAGTTGGTATAGTAGGTAGTACACCAGGTTCGATTGCCACATCCCAGAAGACCCCTTTCCCCCAAGCCCCGCCACAGGTGGCCCCTGAGCGTTGAGCCAGGAGTAAGCCTTGAGCATTACCAGGTGTAGTCAAAACAATTTAAGGGGGAGAAAAATAAGAATCTGGTCTTCCTTGTGTTGGTTTGGGGCCACATCTGGCAGTGCTCAAGGGTTGCTCCTGGCTCTGCTCAGTGGTACTTGGGGGAGCCTATGGGATGGCAGAGACTGAACTAGGATAGCCATGTGCTCTGTGCTCTTTCTCTGATGTCTTTCCGTGTTGGGGTGGGGGTGTGTATTTGAGACCACGCCTGGTAATTCGGCCACTCCTCAGCCCTGAGCCCTCCAAGTCGGATGGTTCAGTGGTCCCAGGGCCATCAGAACTTCCCTCAGTGGTGCCCCAGGAGGGATCAGCTAGCTTGGGATAGACGTGGGTCCTTGGTATGCAAGACCCAACCTCCTGAGCCCTGAGCCCGCTCCCCAAGTGCCTACTGAGCCCTGAGCCAGCATCCCAGTGCCTGGTGGCCCCTGAACCCTGAGCCAGTATCCCAGTGTCCCCTGAGCCCTCCACCTTTCACAGCCGCGGGGCTGGGAAACAGCCGCGGGGGCTGGCTGGGTAGGTGGCAGAGACCGTGCTCATGCCGAGTCTCCAGTGCTGACGGCTGATGCCTCTTGTTCCCCCACAGTCTGCGGGCCGGGCATCGACATCCGCAATGACTACCAGCAGCTGCGGCGCCTGGAGAACTGCACGGTCATCGAGGGCTACCTGCACATCCTGCTCATCTCCAAGGCTGAGGACTACCGCAGCTACCGCTTCCCCAAGCTCACCGTCATCACCGAGTACCTGCTGCTCTTCCGTGTGGCTGGCCTCGAGAGCCTGGGCGACCTCTTCCCGAACCTGACGGTCATCCGCGGCTGGAAGCTCTTCTACAACTACGCGCTGGTCATCTTCGAGATGACCAACCTCAAGGACATTGGCCTGCACAATCTACGGAACATCACGCGCGGCGCCATCCGCATCGAGAAGAACGCGGACCTCTGCTACCTGTCCACGGTCGACTGGTCCCTCATCCTGGATGCCGTGTCCAACAACTACATCGTGGGCAACAAGCCGCCCAAGGAGTGTGGGGACCTGTGTCCGCGCACGACCGAGGAGAAGCCGCTGTGTGAGAAAACGAGCATCAACAACGAGTACAACTACCGCTGCTGGACCCCCACGAGCTGCCAAAAAAGTAAGGGGTGCGGGGGTGGGGGCTGCTGCTGGTCCCCGCTTCAGGGAACCCTGGCGGGTGGGGGGCTTCACATCCAGGCTGTGGGCTGCCTGCCACTTCAAAGTTGTGGGAGTGGGGTGGGGGCGGGCTGGTCTTGGGGAGGTTTTCTGCTCTGGCTGGGGTGTAGGACGTGGTGGGCGGGGGTCAGCTCAGCAGAGGCGGGGGGACTCGGCTGGCTGCTGGTGCTTGGCTGTGCGGGTTGGGGTGATGTTGGCTGAAGAGCTCTGGTCCTTTGCATGGGGATGGGCTTGGGGTCCGACGGGCCATCATCCTTTGGATTCGTGTGGAGACGGCCAAGCCTGGGGACAGGCACCAGGTTATTCTGGGATGACGACCTCCCTGCTCTGAGTGACGGTACCACCATGTCCCTGAGGAGGGGCCCGGGCCTGGTGGCCAGGCATCCACGTTCATGCTGGCCAGGGGACTCTCTGCGTAGTGGGGTGCACATGGCACACCCAGCGGTAGGTCTGAAAATGGAACTCCGGTGGTATTTGGGTTCTACTGGCTTGTGGTTCGTATGGTACATTGAGCCCCAAACCATCAGGGCCGCTCTGGCTAGTCGGAAAGAACCAAGGAATCCCTGTGGAGTGACAAGAGGGAGCCCCAAGACCTGAGACTCCGTGCGCCCTTCCATGAGGTCCTGGGTTCGATCAGTAGATCATATTGTCCTTCCCTTCCTCTAGGCTGGCCTCAGGTGGGCCAGGGGTTCTGTCCACTGCTCCCTTTGGAGCCAGGCCCTGCCTGCCGTCAGGGTTCCTTATGGGCCTGGCTGGGAGCCTTCTGCTGATTCTACCCCCTGGGGTGGGGGTGGGAGTCACTGAGCAGAACACAATTTTGGTGCTCACAGCACACCCAATTTTCCTCTCCCCCTTTTTTTTTGGTGGTGGGGGAGGATAGTGCTGGGATCGAACCCAGGACCTCATCGAAGGAGACAGGCATTCTGGTTCTGGGCCACCCTAGCCCATCCTTTCACTCTTCTGATGGTGGGGTCACTCTGAGTGAAGCTTTGGGATCACCCAGTGCTCAGGATTGCACCCAGAGCCTTATACATGCAAATATCCTGGGACCCGCCAGTGTTTCCCCAGAACCTTCCTTAGCCCCCTCATGTTTTCCCTCCCCAGTGCTGCTGAAATGTGTGCATGCAGTGGTTTTTTGGAGACTGGGAAAGCCTGTGCCAAAGACAGTCATTACCCAGAGAGTTGAAAAGTCAGGCCAGCGAGCTAGCACAGTTGGCTGGAAGTTCTGGGCACTGTTTGAAGCAACTCCTCTCGTCCTGCAGGGCCTTGCTCTGCTCAGCTGGTTCGGAAGTGAGGGTTGGGGGCCAGAGAGATGGTACAGTGTACAGTAGGGCAGCACTTGCCTTGCACTCTGCTTACCCTGGCACCCCATATGGTGCCCAGAGCACTGCCAGGAGTGATCCTTGAGTGCAGAGGCAGGAGTCAGCCCTGAGAACTGCCGGGTGTGGTGCCAGTCCTTCCTTCCCCCAAATGCCATGCCTGAGACCACTGTCTTTGGGGTCCCTCTCTGGGACTTGGGCCCCGTGAAGCTGCATCTCTGAGTCTCATTGGAAGGTAGGTTACCTCCCTACCCCAGTCAGTGACAACTGGGGTGTTTCCAGAAGCCTGGTGGGCAGGGAATACCACCCTGCACAGTGAGCAGAGCTGGCTCATCTGCTGGGGTGTCTGGGTTTGTGTTTAAAGCAGGAATTGCTGTTTGCTGCAGAAGGAAAACCCCCAGGTGGAACTGAATAGTTTATGCCCTGACTTCTGAGCACTGTGTCCAGTGACCCCTTATAACCAAACGGTGGGATATGTGTGTGAGAGAGAAAACTTTGGCGTCAGTAAAAAGTTTCTGTACCTGAGGCTGGAGAGAAAGCACAGTGGTCAAGGCACTTGCTTTATGAGCGGCCAATCTGGGATCAATCCCCAGTGAACCCTAAGCCCCACCAGGGGTGATCACTGAGCACAGAGTCAGGAGTAAGCCCTGAGCACTGCTGGGCAAGCCATTTGGGTTCTCCTAAAAGCCAAAAGAAAATATAAAAGGGGCCGGAGTGATAGCACAGGGGAAAGCGTTTGCCTTGCACATAGCCGACCTGCATTCAATCCTCAGCACATCCCATATGGTCCCCAATCACTGTCGGGAGTAATTCCTGAGTGCAGAGCCAGGAGTAACCCCTGAGCATTTCTGGGAGTGACCCAAAAAGAAAAAAAATAAAAGAAAGAAAGAAAGAAAGAAAGAAAAAAAAAGAAAAAAGCTTCTGAATGTGCCACAGTCAGAAGTTCATTCTGTGCCCACCATGTCTGGAATGGGAGGTGTTTGCTGAGTTTCTGGGCAGGAGTGAGGGGCAGAGGTTGGAGTGTAGGAAGCTGGGAGCAGAGGGACCTCAGAGCCCTGTTCTGAGAACTGTCAGATTCTGCCCCTCGGACTCGATGGATTCGCCAGTCTAGGCAGCTATTTCCAGATCATAAACATCTAGGGCTCAGAAGTGACCTGCCTTCCTCAATGGGCGGTCCTGGGCGGCCTCACTCGCCGGCCTGTCCAGATAAGCCATATCTTAGAGGACCTTTCTGCAAGGCCCTACCCCTTTGTTCCTGTTGTGTGCGCCCCGCCCCGCTATCCCGAGAGCTGTGTAAATTCTTCTTTATTTGGTCCTCAGACCCCAGGAGGTCAGGCCCACTAGGCTGGGATGATTGTAAGGCAGTAGCCACACCCGAACCCAGCGAGGATCTGTGGACGAGACTGAATGGGTACAGTTGAGACTGGATGGGTACAGTCGTGCCATTTGGTAGCAAGCAAAGGACAAGGAAGCTGCCCCGCCCGGTCACAGTCTTTTTGAAGTGTGTGTGGCTGGGTGTGATGGTGCGTGCACGGCCCCCTTGCAGCCTGGCTGCCTGTTTTGGCTGCTGGTTTGGTTCGGCCCGAGACAGGCGGGAACGCTGCACCTTTCCTCCCATCTGGGACATCAGGTGGTGTTGGTGGGGGGGGTGGGGGGGGGGGAATGTTGCCCCGGACGTTGGGCTGGCTTATCTCAAGAGGGAACAGAAGTTGCATTTTGCTTCTTGTCCCCAGCCAAGCCCTTCTCCCGACTTCTTCTGTCTCCTCTCTCACTCCAGTTTTATTCGGCATGGGGGCGTACCCAGTGGTGCTCAGGGGTCACTCCTGGCTCTGTACCCCAGAGTCACTTCAGGGAACCATCTGGGGTGCCAGGGATTGAACCCGGGTTGTTTGTGTGCAAGGCCAGCGCCCTCCTCGCTGTCCTGTTGCTCTGGCCTCTTGTTGATGCAGTCGAAGTCCACAGGGAAGGGGGAATGGACAGCTTGTTGGGGCTGTTCTCTTGCAGACAAGATGGCAGGTACCCCTTGGCCCTGCAGTTACCCCAATTTGTCTTCCCAGGCCCCACAGTAAAGTCTGGGGGTGGAGGTAGTGGCTGAGAGGTGCAGGCAGAGGGGCCCCCCTACCCCAGCTGTCTGTGGGGCAGGGGAAGGTGATGGAGATGTGCATATAGCTCCAGGGGGCAGGTCTGGACCCATTTTTCAGGTAGAAGAGATGCATATGTGCCCCCCAGATGCCCTGATAGACACAAAGTGCTTGGATGCTTTGGAACAGTCTCCGGGACCAGAATGTGCTGATGTCCCAGGGAAAAGAGAGAAACACTGAATCCCCCCAGGGCCAGAAAGGCAGTTTCATTGAAACGGGTGGTGGTGGGGGGCGAGGGACAGGTTTGACTATTTCCAAAAAGAAGTCAGCCAGCAAACAGGGGTAAGAGAGGGAAGCAGGTGAGTGCTTCTGCAGCTAACATGAATCCTTATCGCGTATTGGTTCGCGAGACAGGGCTCCCCCGCTGCTCCCCTGGGCTATCTTGTCCCCCAGTCAGCCCTCCCGGACAGGCACCCAGAAGAGGGACTCTGTCCCGCAAGAGCTCGAAGTGGAGTTGAGCACCACCCCTTTAGAAATGCACGCCAAGGTTTGGAGCAATAGCAGAGCAGGGAGGGCACTTGCTTGCCTTCATGCGGTGACCCGAGTTCAATCCCTGTATGGTTGAATTTGGATTTGTCACAATATCCAAATATGGGCACTGCCAGGAGTGATCTCTGAGCACAGAGCCGGGAGTAAACCCTGAGTATCACCAAATGTGGCTCAAAAAAAAAAAAAATTAAAATGCATGCTAGGGGCTGGAGTGATAGGATAGCAGGGGAGGGCGCTTGCCTTGCATGCGACTCACCCCAGTTCTATTCCCAGTACCCCACAGCGTCCCCGGAGCCCTGCTAGACGTGATCCCTGAGTACAGAGTCATGAGTGATCCCTGAGCATGGCTGGGTGTGGCCCCCAACCAAAAACAAACGGAGAAATGCTGTGAGGGGAGCAAATCCCTGAGAGCGGTGCGTGGATCTGGTATCTTGGTGGCGGGGGGAGGCTTTTCCGGGGCTGACTCCTCGCCGCTGCGGCTCCCAAAGTGAATTATTCATCAGGACTCTGAGAAACACCCGTGTAATGCGATTATGTTGAGTGCGTCTGAATCATCGACATCCTTCTCCGTCCCGCTTCCCGGGAGCCAGAGCCAGCTCCTTACCCAGCTGGGAGATTCCTGTGGACGAAACCGGTGCTGGGTGTCCACCAGGACATGACATGGAGGGCCGTGGTGTGAGGACATCTGATCAGAGGGTCATTGTAGTTCTTCCTCGAGAGCCAAAGGGTGGGGTACAGTTTGTAAGACTCTGGGGTCCCAGCCACACCACCTGCCCTGGGAGTGGGAGGTTGGGGGGTCTTGCCCAGCTGGGAGTAGGCAGTTGGGCAGTTGCAATAATGATTCCACTCGCTAGGCTCTCTAGCTTTCTCTCCTGAACCTCTTCTCCCACCCCCGCCCCGTTCCCCGCCCTCCAGTGAGGTGTCTTCTAGGAAATTTCCTGCTGTCTTCCTGGTAGAGGGATTGGGCCATGCTTTGGGATGGCCATGATGTCTGT